CATTCTTTTGTAAACTTATTTATTTTACAACAATTGTGAAACAAGTTAGTTCAACTGTTGGCCTGGATGTTTGCGGTTGGGGGGTCGTAATGTGGGAGGTAACCGGAGTACCGAAAGAAACCCCACGTTCTCGGGCAGGTGACCCTTTACCTTCTTATACATTCTTTTATCAATGATATCTAAATGTTCCGTATTCGGATCTTAACTGAACTCAGTCAACCCCGATTAAATACTCTACTAGCTCAGATCCCTAACAAGTACATTTCCATGGCTTACCCATGACTTCCTAACCCTATGATTTATAGCATATTTCAAAATACAATCAGAATTTAATATTACGAGAGATTGGATTTGTGTTCCTAGCCAAGGTCGCCATTTTATAGGTAACAAAGAAGCAGGAATGTGATTTATCTGTCAGTCAAGATGCAGTTACCGTAGCTTACTGACATCCTCGAACATTTCCACCGGTTAATGATTTTAGCCATCTACATACAATTATGATGCAAAATTTCCGAAGTCCTGCACCCGGCATACCATTGTTTGCTTATATATCCCGTGTGTCAAAAACCACTCCTAAAGTTGGTGGCGATATAGATTGTAGAGTTAGCAACCCAGATGGTAAACAAACAGGTTTATGCCTTGTAGACTCCAGAGGTATCTCCGAAAGCGATCAGAGATGTAGAATAAATTGTACCCTCTCCAAATCTAAACCGTCTAGACAAAACCAATAGTTTTTTTTATCTCCGCCCTGTCTGCCCAAATATGGAACGTTATTTCGTCCATAGTCAAGCGGCAACGATCTGCTCTCTGATAAAAAAAACAACATTGTATAACCCCGTGTGGTTAAAAGTATCAGATGGACATGGCATGGTCAGCAATGACCAGTTTTGCTCAATAGCCAATATGGTCCCCGATTTAATATTTTCCACTGGCGAATGAATACGTGATACTCTTTTCGGGTGTAATGGGAAATGTGTTTTTAGTATTCTGAAATCCAATTACAACGTATCATTAGCGAGTTTTCCTAAAAAAACTAAAAAAAACTAAGGCATTCCCTAGAACAGCACGGAGACATCCCCTGATCAAACTGAATGTATAGTCTTGCATCGAGACATTCCCTTGTAAACAAAAAGAGTTATACACCGATACGTTCTTCATGTACACCGAGACATCTCCTGGTAAACAAACTACACCGAGACATCCCCTGGTAAACAAAATTAGGTTCTACACCGAGACATCCCTTGATGAACAGGAAGTCAGCCGTGGCCATATTTATCAACTGTTTAGTGTCGTTAGCTGGTTTTAAACACCTCGATAACGTGATGTCATTTCCCAGCAGATTTTCCAAGCTGAACATTGTTTTGATATAAGGAGTGTTACTCCGTCCAGTGTACGTCATTCTATTACCTGTTAAGGGCGTATGCTACCCTACGGTGATAAAAGAGTTCTTGAAATGAAATGAAACTCTTTTTGGTTGGATAAACAGCACCGGTGCCTGGGACTCTCCTCCTTAACCAACGAAATACATGATAAATAGGATGTTGTCCTCACATTTCTGTGATAAAAACATTTTTAAATTCTTTGAAAATTGTGAAATGTTATATTGCCCGTAATATTTCATAAATATCACGCGTGCACATCGCTTTTGATTAGTATTTAATCAAGCGTTTGAATGAGTGTAACCAAATAAATTTGAAATGTCAGTTTTGAAATATCACATGTCATATAATTTGTAGATCTAGAGGAAACGATCGCAACTTGTCAGTGCCGCAAGATCCGGATCAGCCTCCTAGCTTGCCGATAGGAGAAGTAGATGGAATGATATTTAGGGCATGCATATTTGCCAAGACGTTTTTATTTGACGAATGATACACCGGTTATAAACAGCTAAGCAAACCCCTTCATAAACGTGCCTGCGTCGTCTTACAATCTAGATTGGAGTGTTGATACCTTCCTCTGTGCGTCAACAGGAAGTAGCTCCCATCTGATAACGTCACAGACATGCGTTTTTCTACACGACGTGCATACATGTATGTCATTTCCGGATACCGAACTCTGGACTAAAAATATACAGCATTCGAATAATTACACTCATACATGTATCAGTGTCGCCATCCTAAAGTGATTACGTTGCAATAATTACATATTGTACTTAATTTTCTGTAAATTGTAGTGATGGGGGTATATTTTTAAGCATTGAACTGTTTTTGTATGGTATTTATGATCTATTTGAATGACACAGATTTGCAAGCAAACAACATAATGCGCGCGTTGTCATTCAAAGAGATCATAAATACCATACAAAAACAGTTCAATATTTATATTTACGATTTCTCTGCCTCTTATGTTCCTTTTTTTTTTACTTACAATTTATATTGAAAATTGAAAATTCCCGCCTTATCGACAGTCCACACAAATTTGTTCAATAGTTGGAACAGCGTGGTGTCGCGTGCTGATTGGCAAATAAAGTAGTACTTTGTAATTTTAACAAACACTTCAATTTTATTCCACAATTCAGTATCAATACAATTGTGTATGATATGGCTATAGGGTGATTTAAGTTTATCAATAGAACTCTGAGCTGAAAGATAGATTTGGAATTATTTCGATTTTTCCCCGGAACAAATTTCGCGCATGGATAAATACAGTGAACACCGTAAATCCGACCTTGCCCTCCACGAGGGAGTTATTTTTGGAAGTTAATTCGACTTTTTCTCTTTGCTCATTTTGTGAAGAATCCAGACGTGAATTTATTTGTTGATTGTATGGGAGTCTGACTACAGTCAGTAGATTCTATAACAGCCTCGTCATTTGACATGTCGTCAGAAACTGAGGAAACCGTTGCTGCGAGACACGTGAAACTGATAGCGTTTGAAGTGAGTGAGTTTGCGACGGAGCACAGCTCACCACAGGGGTTCGTTACAAATGTCTGAAATGTTTATGTGAGTTGTGACTCATATCAGTAGGTCTAGATCTGTAACATATGTGTTAGTAGGTCTATAGAATATGTGTATTTCAAACATTTGTAACGAACCCCTGTTGATCATTGCAGTGTAACAGACGATATTTCTGAATTGCATGAGCGTTAAAATTGTTTCCATTGCCGGCATTGGTTTATTTCAACCGATTTGTATATTGTAAGATATTGCAGACCTTGTTATTGTTTTTGTTGTAATAAAAGTATTTTTTATTTTATTTTGCACATAAATTTACAATGACGTGGTCAAGTCTCACAATGCCAAGCGATATTTCAGCAGCCGTCATGTTTATTTACATTGGATATTGTAGTTCCGGTCAGTGTCGTATTAATACGCTAAGAATTGTGTCTCGTGCTGCATGGTAATTAAAGTCCCATCAACGACACAGCTTTCAAAGAGGCTATATAGTGACAATGCCATGCAAATGTAAATATAAATGTATAAACACAATTGACCAACCACACACATTGACCGAAGCAAATTGATAAATGTCTTACCTAAATGTAAAAAGAAATGAACAAATGATATACGGCATCCGATTGAACAAGCAAACACCGATTTAATTATTTTTAACTATTTGAAACTATCCAAGTCTATGTTATCGATATGCTTCGATGTGACGTAACCCCCCGTCTCAGAGACACCAAAAGGTATTTTTAAACAGTTCATATTCTTCTGTAGGTCTAATTGAGGCAGGGCTTCCACAAGGCTCTTTTCTTGGTCCACTTTTATTTCTTATATTTATTAATGACATAGCAGATGGTTTTGAATCAACGTCTCGTCTTTTTGCAGACGATACATCATTACTTAATTCATTTTCATTTTGTCTAGAAATTCAAGAAACTTGAAATAGAGACCTAGAGATCTTAAATACTTGGTCAAAAAGCTGGTTGGTTAATTTTAATCCTGAAAAATAGATGTATTGTTTATTTCGAATTCAATCGATATCGAAGAAGACTTCGATTTAGAATTTGATTGGAAAGTCTTAAACTTTACAGCTTATCATAAACATTTAGGGGTAACTTTTAATTCGAATGCACTTCAGGAATTTACACTTCTGTTATGAAAAATAATAATGTCTTATGGAAACTGATTTAATAATTTACAACTTAAATCAAACATTTTTAGATTTGTGCCAAACTTTATTAAATCCAGCAAGGGATTTTGAGTTCAAATTGTAACAACAATTGTATATATTTATTATCATTATTGTAATGTCATTTCAAATTTATATTGGGAGAAGGCGTTGATAGGTTGTTATAACTTGTGCCTAATCCCTTGTCTAAGTTTGGCAACAAATATGTTTAAACTAAATTTGAACCTGGGTTGTGAATAGTTGTGTCTTCGGAGGCGAAGACTATGAAAAAGGAGGGAGGACTGTAGTAGAACTGGACTGGGTCGATCATCGGCGATCAGGGTGGCTCAATCAGCGTCCGTCTATAGGGTCCCAGGTTCGAGTTCCGGTCTGGCCGTGCATTTTCCCGCTTTAATTACATATGTACATCGTACCTACATCAACCCGATATACATTGTAAAAGATGGCAATTTTTTCAACACTCTCACTGATTTGATTACAATCCCATGGACGCCAATGATTTGTGTTGTTACTGTTTTTATAAACAGGAGGTTATAATTTCACTATGACGTCACTTCAATTGTAGCGTCAATATGCTGTCTGCCTGATGTAGTTTTTTTCCCCTTTGAAAATTGTTAATATAACCATTAAGGACTTTCGGTTCGGTAAATATATGGTAATATAGACATAAAACGTGATATTGACCTGTACTTGTCTTGGTCAATATTCCTTTCTCTGGTCCATAGAACCACATAATAACCCCAACAAACGTCTATAATTGATAAATATACAATGATATACTTTTACATGCATCAACATCATATGTGTGATTCTATATTATATACATATATCACGTGTTTATACATTAAGTACATACATCAACGTTCGTGGTATTTATGGTTTTCTGTGTAATATATATTCTAACAATGATCTTCTGTGTGTTTCAGGCTATGGCCACAGTACCCCGCAGACGACAGGAGGAAAGATATTCTGCATGTGTTACGCTCTTGCGGGTATTCCATTGTGTATTGTGATGTTCCAAAGCGTTGGAGAGAGGCTGAACACTTTCGTAACGTTCCTTCTAAAACAAATAAAAAAATGTTTCAAGCTGAAAAACTCCGAGGTGTCCCAAACGAACCTGATCCTAGTTGCCATGAATCTGTCCATTATCGTATTAACAGCTGGGGCGGGGGTGTTCTCGCACTTCGAGGGCTGGCAGTATATTGACGCGTTCTATTACTGCTTCATCACACTAACTACAATAGGGTTCGGGGATTTCGTCGCTTTACAAAATCACAGTGCTCTACAGAAGAACCCCCAATATGTCGCCTTTAGTTTGTTTTATATTTTATTCGGGTTAACAGTTATTTCAGCCGCTATGAACCTACTTGTGTTACGGTTTTTAACTATGAATACCGAAGATGAACGAAGAGACGAATTGGAGGCTGCTGCGGCTGCGCAGACAGCTGTAAAACTTGACGGTGACGTCATTACTTCCAACGGAAATGTTGTGTCACGTGCTCAGGAAATTCCCGAGTTTAATGATCACGTGTCTGTATGTTCTTGTTCGTGCTATAATATACGATCTAAAGATAAACACAGGTATAAGGTCACGAGGTCACCAGGTAAAATTTCACATCTGCTGCAGATGCAGAGCATAAGCTCAGGGAAGGATGACGTCATCAGTAATGGTGAGGACTCAAATTCCATTGTACAATTCAATTACATAAATTGGAAACGAGCGTCAGTGTAGCGAGATTAGCAGCGTACCTTGGGAGTCAATATAGCGAGGATAACTGTGTACCAATGTTGTCTGTGTACCAAGGGTGTCTGAACAGCGAGGTTGTCTGTGTAGCGAGGGTTTATGTATGAAAATTGTCAGTGAAACATGTGGGTTAGGTATATATATGTGTATGAATAGAGAATGAGAGAATGGGTGCGATAAGATTTTACCAACATTCTGGTACTTTCGGTATCGCAACAGCTAGTAGCATACTGAAAATTCCACTCTTTTTATTTGTCATTTCTTTTGTAGATGTTGAAATATTGCGGACAATATACAAAAAATAAAGAAATAAACTTTTGTTTATGTGATTTAGAATCAAACTTATACAGTTTGTTACTTTTTGTTTTGCGACCGGAAGTACAAGTGTTAAATTATCCAAATGTAGTAATGCTGGGATTTACAACTTGTTTTAACTGTCAAAAATGTAGAATAAAGCCATTTGTGTTATGTCTTTGATCTTTCTGTTAAAGTCGACGTAGACCAGATAATATACATCGTAGTTATACATATCAAAACAGTATTTCTGCTCCATTAATGCGAGTTTAAATTTGTTTTGCACTTTGGTATAAACATAAAATCAACCATGAAAGAAATGGAGAAAAATAAAATATTGCGATTCTTTTTTCCCGAATTTAGTTGTGAATCCCATGCAAGGTATATATATGTGAGTGTAGAAATGAGTGGCTGACAGTTATTTTCTATACATAATTCAAAGTGTTGTAATATTGATGACTCACATTGTTGATTTTGATTTTAATTATTTTGTAAAAAAAGAATCTATATACTGTATAAACACCATCAGACGAGAGTACCGTGCATCTAGTTAACCTGTCACGTGACCCTGTGTGCTTATTATATGGCCATTTCCGGTTTGGTGGTTTTTTGTTACCGAAACATTTCGCTATACCTGTTGGATGTGATGTGCCACTTATCCAGACGGGCAAGGTCTACTCAGCTCGTATCGATTTGATTATTGTACTTTATGGAATTTTGTTTCTCTCATCATTGTTGTTAAGATAGAACGGTAAGATTTACGGGTCGTAACAATATTTTGCCACCATGTGGTGCTTTTCACTGTCTTGGCTAAGTCTGCTCTACAGTCTATGTAAGGGTGTGTATCTGTTGAGACATGTAGCCACACTGAGACATGGTCGTTTGTGGAAAACGAGATATGATGGCGAATAGTAAACAAGGGAGATAATTCCAAATGACTTGATAAATCATTGTCCATGTCCTATGTACTATGTTTTCTATGTAACCTTCACTGTTACGATTGACCTCCGGTCTGCGCTAGCAGCTTAAAACACTTACGTATGATTAGCCAATACAAGAGCACACAGGCAACAACCTATATAACAGATGTTGTAAAGGTTTGTAAATCCTAACGTCATTAAAAGTGAACATATAAAATCCTGGATTTGTAAATCCTTATTTTCTCTTCAAATTCAAATTTTTAACAGTTGTTTGTTCGGCAGGTTGTTACCATGTTTTATGGATTTTATTCGTAGATCATAGCTTGATTCTATCAATCAAAATGTGAATGGTTCGGTTGTACGATATCGAGTTAGTTTTTGTGACTGGTTTAATATAACATTAAAGCCTAATGGCTGAGAGCCTGGCAAAGATCGTCAGTATAAATAATGGGATCACTTATCGGAGAACGAGAGTCGATATGTGGTGATATGTAATCATATAATTACATTTTATTTGTATATTCTACTGTACCTTAACAAATCAGTGACAAAAATGTTCCGAATTTTCATTGTCTGATTCTAACAAAAATTTCATTTTTTATTTGTCATTTAATCAAAATCAAATGTATGATTGGTAAAAAAAATCAAGATTCTGTTTGAAACCGACGATCAAAATATAAAGGAATTCTGATTCGAGGCGAAAGATACCCTGATTCGCCAAGGAAGGCAATGTTCGGGTTACATCTAGATACCCGGATTGAGTAATGGTACCCGGATGGAATGATTGTAGCTAGCGTAGAAATAACGTGACCATCTTGTCGAGTTTGTCCCTTGTACGTGTGTTTGTCAGTGTGTACTTCCCTGTACGTTATAGAAATGGTACTCGTACACCCGAGGAAGTGTCTTTCACACTGGTTTTTGTATTTCTTCACTGATTACATGATTGTATGCTTTTTTCATCTTTCTAGTAAAGCATATCTCGAATCTGCCTCATAAAAAAGCAATGAAATCCCAAGGGAAGTTAATATAAAGTAGTTTGATATTAATCAATAATATAATCGGATACATAAACTACAGGAGCAATAATACTTTATATACTGCTGTGTATGCTACTTGTATTGATATCTTAATGTTTTTTAATGATAAACTTACTTTGTAACCTTTCCAATTGACGTAGATAGTTTGGTACACATACGCTAGGCCAAGTTAGAAAATGTATCCGTGCTTCTGTAAATGGTTCAATTCCGCTTCATAGAGGTGGGTTTTTTTTTTTGAAATCTGAATCCTTAATATAAAAAACCGTAGATTACTTTGAGTTAAAAGAAGTGATTTTTCAAATTCCGTTCGTCCTTATTTATTCGGTAGTCGGTATCAGAAAACAGAGATATTTTATCATTCGGCCTATATGTGTTGTACTATGTCTATAGATGTACTTTTTAAACTAATTCACTGCTTCTGTGACCTTTTATTTCAAATAATATTTCATCGTTTTCTAATTTGATGTTCGGACCAAGTGTCTTTTCCCCTAAAACCTTACAAAGTCATTTTGATCACATGCTTCCAGAGACCTACACATGTAATTTGTTTTGATACCTTGATTGCGCTGTAAGTGAAAAACGCTAAAATGAATTTGATGATGAATGGCCGCGGTAGCGTTGACTCTTTTTTTCTATTTATATGTTGTGTTGTTTTAAAACTTGGGCATGACGTGGATTTAGATTGCTCTTACTCTATATCTTTATGTCTATTATAAAAGTTCGTTGATAATTTGGTTGATATCCAACAAAGATAGTTTTATCATTACGAGAAACTCGTGATCCCTAGGACTAACACTCTTATCTTTAATTAGAACTCAATGGAGTTCGCTTTATTCTCGCACAATACATGCAGTTAACGGGAGCGCACTGCTAACCAGATTAAGTATCTATTTTTAATCTACTTTTAACTTAACAGAATCAAGGTATTTTACACTGTATTGGTCTATCAGCAATTAAAACTACACCTATGTTCAATAAACCTGGTTACGATCAGGAGCCAAAATCTCCTGTCTCTGTCTAATACTGATAATGGCGAACACGTGTACTTTCTAAAGGTTCGTTCCGTATTGTTAGCCGACTGTATTTTCGATCTTCCTGACATTGAATCTCGCCTGGCTAACTGACGTGCAGCCGGAGGCCCTATTTTGATTTTCCATACCTTGCTTGTACCTCCCACGTTGTTTCTTGTCTCAATACTAATTTTAAACAGTGCTCGTTGGTTCTTTAATTGCTGTATTGAACGAATCAGAGATCAGATATTACTCTTCCTCGTAGAATAAAAATTATAACTAGATTGGAAGAACAAAAAATAGATTCGTACTAAGTATACTGTTAAAGCGGATTTTTTGTCGGTGTGGAACTGTTCGCGTTATTTGCGTTAAGTAAATAAACGTGAATATTTCCAAACGCAAATGTGTGACTCAGTCTTACCAATATCAACCCTTTTGTTTTCATTCTACATGTATTGAACCATTCACATTGAAACACTTAATGATAAACCGTTTTGTTTAGAGAATAGCGCCATGTACTTGACGTTTGGCTGTTTCTAAGCAGCATATTCTAACTATATATGACAGGTTGCGTTTTTGGTTTATCAACGTTATTTAATGATAAAGTTACTATTTCAATTAGGACATATATGTGTTCTCCCGAAAATCCATAACTTTATATCAAGGGCTAAATTTTTCCTGATACTAAAGTCTTCTCAAGCACGTGCAGTCTTCTCCGGTTTGTGTGAAACAGCTTCATATCGATCGTCGACTCAACACCATACGTTGTGTTAGCTGAAAATTGCAAACATTTCTTTACAACTTTTATTTTCAAAGAGACCCATCACGTAACGGCGATTAAAACTTGAAAAAAGCTACATAAGCCACGCTTGTGTACATTATATTATTTGTTTATGCTGAAGAGCCGTTAGCTAATAGTGGATTGTCATACACGTAACATTGAACCCCTATTCGTTACGTTAGCGTACATCAGATGCCCGAACACTTTACACTGAAGATCGTTACATTACTCATTTTTCAAAATTTATTTTTCGATCCATTTTCCTTTGTCTCATTTAGGCAGTAGATCGTCTGTAATACCTGCCTACCAGACTGATTACGAGAGGTAAAGAACAGCATCAAAGGCAAAATTAAAGGAGCATGCAGCTTCTTAGCGCCTCACAACAAGGGGTGCTGGCACGCTCACTACAGTGTAGCTTGTGTGTGGTGTTGGGAGGGGGAGGGAGAGATGATTCAGATAGTGTTCATAGCTACTTGTAAGGGAAAGGTTTATCACAGGGAACGATAGGGAGGGGGAATGATAGGAAAGGCAGGGAGGAGGCTAGCATACACCGGTAGGGAAGGAGGGTGACCTCGATACTGTAGCGAGGAGGGCCTTGGTATGACCTTGTACTTGAGGAGAAGGGACATTTAATATCCTAGAATGAAATGGGAGTCATTACCAAGAACGCTAGGGAGGGGACCTCACCTTGTACCATGAACCAGGAACTGCACTTAAAGCTAGTCCCTTTACAGTGTTCGAGTGAATACATCTTGAAACAGAACATGCTAGAAATAAACATCGTTTTATAACATATATTATTTTCTGTTCAGTTTTTCTACGGAGGATATTAGTATATCTTCACTTAGATACCATTTATAGGCTAGGAGAGTTCTTGGACGCGGATCAAAAAGGTGATTAAAAGGGTAACATGTACAACAATTGTGATTGAAATAATCTAGGTTGACAGATATACTCATTATCCCGAAATGTTATCCCGTGACCGTTTCTAGATTTACTTTGTCTGTTGTAACAATCATTAAGACGCTTGGTTAACCAGGGCAGTCGCTGATAAACACTGAGAGGACTCAGATCTAATATCTAGACCTAACGAAATTGGGATTTGCGTATATCATTGGCATGGCTACCCCATGTTCGTGGCTTTCATTGTATTCATTTTATCATGATCGACATATAAGGACATGGACGAACAATGCCTTCCGAATAATTGATTTTTTCGTAGTTGATGAAATTATATCTCGATTTGTGATTACTTGTACATGGATTCTGGATAGGTCACTTTCAAAAAAGACATTCAATCGGTGCGGTAGGCATTACACCCAAAAAATGGAAGTGTTTGCGATGTATCAGAAAGTATGTGTTAAGAACAATTATTGTTTCAAATACTATTTAAATTTCCACTAAGAATGTTAACCTACATACTATGTCGGGCGGACGTCGGACACAGCCACGTTTAGATTACCCGACAGTAGGAATGCGTGTATGTACTATGTATACATGGCCAGTTGTCCACTGCTGCCAATTCATTTCCTGTTTTAGTGATATAGTTCATGCAGGTTAGATACTGACTTGAAGTTCATCGCCAGGTTGAAAGGTTGGCAGGTGGTTGAAAGGTTAGCAGGTATGTCCCTGTATTTCTAAGGATAGTTTCGTATCTTCGTTTCTTAAAAAAGATTTTTTCAGTTATGTCCCTTTATTTCTGCTGTTATTTTTATTTCAACGTATTTTGTAAGGATTTGGCAGTTACATGTATGTCTCTTTATTTCTACTGGTAGTTTCGTATCTTTGTTTCGTTTATATGTACGGTGTAATCTTCGTGGGCACTCCAGCATTGACGACCGATTGAAGCATTTATTATCATATGAACACATTCATACATTTCCATTAAACAACATCATCATCAGGAAGTCGCAATTCTTGCCAGAGGGAAAAAATCTGCTTCCTTATAATTGTAGGTAGAGGGAGTATTCCTTACTTTTAGAATAGTCAAATAATGTCTGTTGGCCATTAATGTTAGTTTAAAGGTGTCAACCTGCTAAGTCTACTGAAATCTAATCAATCTTGTTAATACTTTTTTAAGAAGGCAAAGTATCCAATCAGCGTTATCCTTCATAGTAGTAAGTACCTGCATTATCTTTAAGTTTTATGAATATTTTTTATTTAAATATTTGTGATTTAGAGTTAGACTTGAGAAAATAAACATTTATAATCGTATCGTATAACCATTGTTGTGGCACGCAAACCCTTGTGTGACTTTGGCGTGACCTCTATATATATCAATCTAGTGTGTGACCTTGAGTGTGACCTTGGCATGACATTAAGCGTGACCTTGGCATGACCTTGATTGAGCGTGACCGTGAACAGATGGCATTGATTTTGTTGTCCACTAACTTTGTTTCAAGTTATATATACATACTATATATATATATTGGTAAATATTTTGCATGCTAATTTTTTCAAACCATTCCGATCCACGAGCCTTCCATACATTAACACGTTAGTGAATAACGTATTTTCACACCGATGTTTCTTAACATGTTTACATTAAACATGGCTATGTCAGTACCACAGTCATTTGCTAACAAAGGTTTTCGACACAGTAAAAAACAATATATAATCTGGGACAAATACCGAATGTTTAATTTGTATTTTTTACTATCTGGTCTCACGATAATTGAAACATTACTTCTGATGTCAAAATTTCTTTGAGAAAAAGAGAGCAAACTCGGCTATCAGATTAGAATAATTAAAAAATAAGTTTAAAACAATGCATCTGTAAAAGAATGTTATGACACTGAAAATTACACATTCAAATTTGACTGATGACCTAAAAAGCAAGGCAGTGGGCCTTTTCTATTGTCTTTTCAAAATTAAAATAAAATCTCTAATGAGAACTAAGGGAGACTGTTCCCGCTGAAGAGTGGTTTAATATTAACTGATTGTATCAATTTTAAAATATGATGCTAAAACTGTTTTGTTACAACAGTCAAGTCTTTCTATGCCGAAATAGCTTTAAGACCAATAGACAAGATATTTTAATAAGGTGGGTTTTTTTCAAAATCAAATTGAAACATAAAAGTTATAAACTGAAGAGAATAAGAACAGTAAAAATTGTTAATTTGACATTTTTTTTATTTTTTTTTATAAAATAAGTGTCTGCATTTTATATTGTGCACTTTGATACCACATTGGCAATTCGAACATGTCGAAAAATGACTGTTGAATTAACTGAACTGTATGTCTTTAACTGTAGTTTGTATCACACAGGTAAACAAACCAATGTACAACCCATTCTGTCCATGTTTACAAATATCACAGGTTTTGACATTGAGCATGTACAGTCAACACATTTGACATCTATGTTAACTAAATGCGTTGGTTCTTTGTTTGTAGTATTTTACACCGAGTGTTTGCGTGATTTGAAAACGATCATTCTGTCAATACTTGTCATGACAACTCATATCATATATGTTGATCAAGTAAATATGTGTCAACACGTGCGTTGTATACATGTATGTCAACACGAAGGTTATATATGTCAACACGTGCGTTACGGATGTAAACACGTGTGCTTTATATATGAGAGCACTTTAATACGTACAAAACAAAACACGTGTGTTATGTATGAAATCACGCTGGTATGTATGTCATCATGTGCGTTATATATGTCAACACGTGTGTTATGTATGTCAACATGTGTTCTATATGTGTGTTATGTATATACATAGGCGTGTTTTGCATACATCAATACGTGTGAATTGTATATAAACTTATGTGTGTTATGTATATTTCAACACGTGAGTTATGAATATATGAACAAGTGTGTTATGTATATATCAACACGTGTGTTATATATAGATCAACACATGTGTTATGTATATATCAACGCGTGTGTTATGTATATATCAACACGTGTGTTATGTATATATCAACACGTGTGTTACGTATATATCAACACGTGTGTTACGTATATATCAACACGTGTGTTATGTATATATCAACACGTGTGTTATGGATATATCAACACGTTTGTTATGTATATATCAACACGTTTGTTATGTATATATCAACACGTGTGTTATGTATATATCAACACATGTGTTATGTATATATCAACACGTGTGTTATGGATATATCAACACGTTTGTTATGTATATATCAACAAGTTTGTTATGTATATATCAACACGTTTGTTATGTATATATCAACACGTTTGTTATGTATATATCAACAAGTTTGTTATGTATATATCAACACGTGTGGTATGGATATATCAACACGTTTGTTATGTATATATCAACAAGTGTGTTATGTATAAATCACACGTTTGTTATGTGTATATCAACACGTGTGTAATGTACATATCAACACGTGTATATCAACACATGTGCTATTTATATTTCAACACGTTTAATTAAACACATGTTTTATATATATGTAAACACGTGTGCTGTTTATATGTTCATACTTGTGTTATGTATGCAGACGATATGTATGTCAACATGTGTACCATTTACTTTGACAGGGGATCTTTACCAGTAGATAAGTATGTCAACATATGTCTGTCGACAGATATCTTTAAAATGGTGTATATGATTACGTGTGCTTAATGCTTGTTGGCAGAGGATATTTTCCTTGTGATAACTATGTCGACATGTGTTATATATGTTGACAGAGTTTCTTGTACATCATATCTGTATGTCAACAGATGCAAGTTGACAACGGTATTTACGCTAGCACGTAATATTCATGTTGACATGAGATCTATTTGTCAACAATCGTTGTATTCATGTTGAGAGGCGATATTTCAGTTAACACGTGTGTCACAGATGTTGACAATCTGACAATCTATCTCTATGCTTCAACTCTCTCACTTTTGTTGGCAGATGATCTTTTAATGATATATTTATGTCAACAGGTATGTTATGTATGTTGATTGACAAATATGTTTCTTCACACGTGTGTCATGCATGTTGACAAATTTATTTTCGATGTTAACACCTACACTATTTTTGTTTGACAGAAAATCTTTTAATGTGACATTAGTGTCAAAAGGTATGTTATATGTGTTGATTTCACGAATTTCACATTGTTGACCAAATATTTCTGTCAACACGTGTGTCCTGTATGTTGACAACTGATATAGTGTATGTTCACACATTAGCTTGGTGTCAACACATACAATATCGTATGTTATGCATACAATAGTTTGTCTTAATTTTTAAATTAAAAAATGTGTCAATTGAATTTTGAAAAATAAAGCTCGCTCTATCACTTATTGTGTTTATCTTGATTTTATTCCATTAAATTTTTTACAATTTGTTTCGTTGCGTTTCTTTTTTCCAATTATTTATTTTTTATGTAATGACACTGGAGTTTTTGCGAAGAAGGTGTTCTGTATTGTTGAAGCGAGTATGCTGCTGTAATTTCGGGTTAAAAAACTTCCAAATTCCTAAAACCTTCGGTCTTGCTGGAATAAATATAAATTGATTCCTGTGGGATGTTTGAACATATTATGTCTTATTGACATCTTCAAATGTGTATTATATAACATCATAACTGGTGATAGTACTGTTCTCTCGCCAGGAGAAAAATAAATTTATTGAATCTCACTGTAAAACGTAACGTGTCCTATATACTTCGTACACGTATAGTACATAATGTATACGTAGACCGTATGGATGTAATGTACCTCACACGTCTGTTTTATTAAGAAAGACCATGAGAAGGAATCACGTCACGTGTCCTGACATAAGCCATAAGGAAATAACACGCCACGTGCTCTATACATAAACCAGGATGATATAACACGTCACGTGTCCCAAACATAGACCAGGATGATATAACACGTCACGTGTCCTATAAATAAACCAGGAGGATATAACACGTCACGTGTCCCAAACATAAACCAGGAGGATATAACACGGCATGTGTCCTTTAAATAAACAAGGAGGATATAACACGTAACGTGTCCTAAACCAAGACGATATGACACGTCACGTGCACGTGTCCTGACATAAGCCATAAGGATATAACCCGCCACGTGCCCTATACATAAACCAGGATGATGTAACACGTCACGTGTCCTGAACATAAACCAGGAGGATATAACACGTCACGTGTCCTATACATAAACCAGGAGGATATAACACGTGACGTGTCCTACATGTATAAATAAACCAGGAGGATATAACACGTCAAGTGCACGTGTCCTGACATAAGCCATAAGGATATAACCCGCCACGTGCCCTATACATAAACCAGGATGAAATAACACGTCACGTGTCCTAAACATTAACCAGGAGGATATAACACGTCACGTGTCCTATACATAAACCATGAGGATATAAAACGTCACGTGTCCTAAACATTAACCAGGAGGATATAACACGTCACGTGTTCTATACATAAACCATGAGGATATAAAACGTCACGTGTCCTAAGCATAAACCAGGAGGATGTAACACGTCACGTGTCCTATACATAAACCAGGGGGATATAACCTGCCATGTGTCCTATACATAAACCAGGAGGATATAACACGTCACGTGTCCTTTACATAAACCAGGATGATATAAAACGTCACGTGTCCTATACAAAGACCATGGTGAGGTAACACGTCACATGTCCTATACATAAACCAGGATGATATAAAACGTCACGTGTCCTATACATAAACCATGAGGATATAAAACGTCACGTGTCCTATACTAAGTAAATAGAACATGGTGAGGTAACACGCCACATTTCCTGACAAAAACCATGAGGATATGCATGTAAAACGTCAAGTGTTCTGATACAATCTATGAGGAAAAATAACACACTACGTGTCCTGTTATAAACCATGAAGGAGTAACACGTCACGTGTCATTTACGTTGACCATCGGGAAGTTACACGTCACGTGTCCTGTTATAATCTATGAGGGGGTAACGCGTCACGAGTCAATAACGTAAACCATGAGGATATACCACGCCACGTGTCCTGCTATGAACCATGATGATCAAACACGTCACGTGTCCTGTTATAAACCATGAGGATAAAACGTGTCACGGTCCTGCCATAAACCATGAGGCCGCAACACTTCACGTGTCCTGCTATGAACCATGAGGATAAAACGCGTGTCCTGACATATACCATGAGGATATAACACGTCACTTGTCATGGTATGAATCATGATGATATAGCAGGTCACGTCTCCTGACATAAACCATAAAGAGATAACACGTCATGTGTACCTTTAGATAAATATTTTGGATGTAACAAGTCACGTGATTCATAGAATGTAACACTGCACATGGTCTTATAAATAAATCATGTGGACGAGACACGGTACGCGTCCTATAGATACATATATTTATCGTTTGTATATTGTATCGTGGTTCATATAAGAACAATGTAGATGTAAAAAGCCCCGGTCTGTCTTCGACATAGACTATGATGCCTCGAAAAATAGTAGTTAGTCTCGAGGGCCTGGGATAAATAAACTAGGCACGTTGGCTGACTATAAGTCGGTGGCCGGGAAGAGTGGCGTTAACACCAGACGTTGTGGTCACTGGACATTTTAACAGAACGTTACTTTGGTGTGGTGAGCAGAGTTGTTTGAATATCATACAAATACTCGCCATATTAGATTCAGTACATACAATATAGATAGGTTTCATTCTCGATGATATGCAAAAGAAATTAACCATTTAAAGGATAGGATTATTGGATGTCCATACTTGTGGGCCTCATTATGTTTTGACGCAAAAGTTTTACATCACAGTGTCACGTTAAGGGTATAGTGGAACGGCCGTTTGAGCTCCAAATACGTCCATTCAATTAAAGTGCGGAGATTATAACGGTTATTTCATTACATTAACGTTATTGGCCCTCGGGCAGCCCTACATTACCCTCGGACAGCCCTGCTTTGCTCTCTAATTTGATGTTTGAGATGTGCAAAATATAAACCCTCTTTTTTAAACACTTAAACACAAAATCGTCGGTATCTCAGTCGACTGGAGAGTATAAGTGTGTATAGTTTTTTCGAACCATTTCGGCAATACCTATATTATTGTTCTTCTTTTATATGATAAGTCATGGAAAACGTTTTATATATCAACCTCGCTCGTGCCGAGACGGACGATTCTGTTGTCGTGAAATGTTGAGCTTACTGACGAGATTGATGTCGATGAAGTTATTTTATATGATAAACATATTTTAAAAAAATGAAGCAAAAGATAATGAATCTTTCTACATTGAACTAAACGGGATTCTGTACCAAGCGAGATAACTCTTGTATCACTTTATTTTTCATTTATCTCAATGATATTTGAAATAACGTTTTAAATAACCCTTTGGAAACTTATCAAAAGAACTCACACAGAAAAAAAACAAAGCAATGCAATCGTCAGTAATTTTTTTGTGAGCAAAGAAATACAAGTTGAAAACGATAAATAATGATGTTGACTTCTTTGTAACAATTAAGCTACATGCATAACCTGATAGATGTAAAGACTTAATTACACTAGGAGAACACTACACCCTTTTAACATACACTGTGGCTATACTAGATCAATTAACCTCAAATCCTCTGTTTCCAGTCGTTTTATACAGGAGAGACAGCGTCATGCGTTTCACAACATAAATGACGTGTTTGTTTTGTCACGGGAGATAACTCCGTAATGCCTATACATGCGCACTTTTATTTTGTATGTCGTACGGAATGAAATACCGGAGTAGTGCGATATGCATCTGCCATGCTTTGTCCTGTCGCCACTTGCATTATGGAGATAAGGCTACGAACACAAGTTGTTGAGCGTTATTTACAAGGCCAAACCCCTACATGGCGTTAGACTGATCCTGGAAAGTCGTTAGAAATATACGTACTAATGAACGGAGTGTTTAACGTGCATGTCGGTAGAAACTTAAATCAGTTATATCTGTATCAATATAATTGTATTTAATATCAAAACCTTTGTGTAACCGATTGGCGTTACTACCCTTTATACTGTTCATACAATGATTTCGTGTGAGAGATTTTGGTGATTCCAGCTTTTGGAGAATTTCCATTCCTTGTGTGAGATTTTACAATTTATACGCG